ATCGAATTAAGACTAGAGTCACTACCATGATAATCAACCCTATTTGAGTCTGAACCATGACACTTAAGGACATCAAAAGGCACTTGCTTGGTAATAGGGGATTCTTCATTAATATCAACGAACTTTGAGCTTGACTTTCTTTCGACGATTAGTTGGCATCATAAGCGAAACGACCAAATATTTCCAGAAACGATAATCAAATCCGCGAACTAATGCCAAACGACTTCGGCCAAGTAATAATTGTTTAGAACTGTAGAATCCAAACTAAGGTTTGGATAGAAGAATAGCCGACCGGGGACTTTAGACACGCACCCTTCCCCGTCGAAATCAAAACAAGTAATCGGGTAAATAGTGGTTCTATATTTCATCATAAATTTAAATGTAAATCGTTACCTAAACAAATATTACCACCCGGCTATTCAACCGATAATTGTTCAATCAATCAAATCTAAATTACAAAAAATAAAGAAGTTGATAGAAGATGAGGGAAAATTACCAGTCACAACAAATGAACGTTATTCTATCTCTGACTGGATAGAACACACAAAAGGAGGAGCAAATCAATATGGCTACCGCCAAGAACAAGTGTCAAGTAAAACAACACAGATGAAGTTCAGGAAGAAACACAAACTTAGTGAATGTGTAAGAAAAACAAAAACTATAATAAAAAATTCAAGTAATAACAATTCAAATGTAATCAAAATACAACAGTGTACAACTAAGGTGATCAATAGGAATAAAGTAAAGTATATACATGGAGGGATTTTCACCAACACACAACACCTTCAAAATGGATCTTACAACCTTCTCCTTTTGAACGCATAAATCGAGCTTTTGGCGTGTGATAGCAACAACTTCAGCAAACTTCAGAAGACTGGAGTTTGGCTGCTTATTAATCACCTTGAATGATTGTAGGGTATCGATTTGATGTCATGTATCAAGAAGATGTTTGGTGATTGCAATATTCATAGTCTTTCTTCCTCTTGTTCTGAGGCTTTTTGGAACATACTTACAAAAGTCTGAGATATGCCCCCTTTTCTGTTCGGCAAGTGTAGCTGCTCTGGCAGGTACACGTAAATTTATAAATACAATTGGCGGTAACATGAAAAGGATGCTTATCAATCTTCGATTGAGTTACTGAGCATGTTGTTTTATACAGAATTTGAAGTTTTGCCGCCGGAAATGATGCATTCAGAAACCTGTTGCATTATTATTGAGGATGTCGATTGTGGGTAAACATGTCATGTATGCAGTACAGTTTCGAAACTAACAAAGAACATTTGGAATGGAACTCTCAAACAGAAAAGTAACGTAAATGTCAAGTATCCGCAAGATAAATACAAAAGTGAACAAATTGGAAATAGTCATTAGTCATATTTGACTTACCACATGGGGAGGGGTTGTTTTATTGATAGTTAACTAAACCACTTGACATATCACCTTTACACACAGAGATCGAAATCAAAATAATTAACTATAAAAGTACTGCTTTACCAGGATCAGTTTTATTCAACGTTCTCGACAGCTGAGTACTTCGTTTTTGCAAATTTGCTTGGTGGGGAAACAAGTGAGTTAAGGTTACAAAATCTCGCAAGATGCTCAACAACATGTCTAAGGAATGGGTGAGATTCATTCACAGATAAGCATGGTGGTCATGTTTCGAAGTGTGTCCAAAAACTGAAAAATTGATGGACCTAATTGGTTTGCTATTAGTTGGCAGTAATCATATTTGCTTTCAATGCAATAGTCACAATGTATTCATCAGAATTAAAAAATGGATAAACTCGTTTCGTTTTGTTTCAAAGTCGTGTTGACATATTTTGCTGTATATCATCAGTTATAAAACTGTCGTTACCATGTGAAACAGAGTTTTGATGTGACATATATGAAGAGTAGCTTTTGGAGATGCAGTTGTTTGTAGAGTTTTTATTGATCCTGCTTCCTGCCTAGCCCAGCCAGTTAAGCTTAGAATACCAATCTCAGCCTCCACGACATAGATCAAGTATTTCAAACATACTGGGTTTATATACAAACCAAACTGTCGACTACCTCCAATCGCCTAGTATTTCATCAATATGCATGCGTTGTCATGAAATTCTGACACATATCTTAATAGCTATAAGACCGAAAGGTTTTGTTCGTTCATTCGTTGGCACTTCTATAAAGTTTTAAACTGGTTGTAAAATAGTTCATAGTCTATAATCAAAGTTATTTTCAACGTTTAAAGTTCATTTACTCTCAATAATCCGTTTGTTATAACTTATGCCCTGTGTTCTATCAATATTATAACGTAATGATACTGCCAATTAGAAAACAGTGATTTATCGGCAAGACGAGTGACGCATAAAACAAGTACGAGTAGTCTACAGTACTTATCGGTCCTTCTCCCTGCCTAACATTGCCTGTTAAGCCCAGAACACCAATATCAGCATCCACGATACGAATCATTATATTTCAAACATACTGGGTTTATATACGAAACAAACAGACCACATCGTACCATAAAATAGGAAACAACATTTGTACAATAATAAGCCAAATGTGGTTGTGAATATAGGAGACTGTAATGAATAGACTGGGCATAAATCAAGGATGGTAAATCGTAAAATAATCATCTATGGATCAAAACAAGGCTTATAATGAGAGGAACAAGAATATGAATAGTTTAGCTACTTAACGATTATTGAATAAGAATGTCTGGATAGTATTTGTTCCGAAATAGATTCCGATGGTTACCATTCATTATTCTCATCGGGATATATAACAAGCCAAGTTGATTATTGTTAAACTTACCATTGATAATATTGGTCATTTTCTCTTAGATTAATTTTAACATTGATTGATAAATAATGAAAACTTTAATGAATTCAACGAATAGTGTAATTAAATCAAAAATTAGTTCTAGTGAGGAACTGTGACCAGTGGAGCTAATCCATGTTGGGTAGAGACAGGTATCTACCTCAGTATAATGGTAGATGGTTACGCAATTTCGTGTATTCATTGAGGTAAGAAATTCACAACACTGAATGCCTGTTCAGTGGTCTAGAGGTTAAGCGTTCGTCCGCGAGACCAAAGGCCCCGGGTTCAAATCCCACGAAGACCATCGTGGATGCTCAATGCAGAAAAGTCTCACAATAGGACGAAAAGGCCGTTCAGTGCTTCCAGGTTTTCAATGGTGGTCTAACATCAATCGATTCATGATCTCAATCAAAAACGTAATTATCTCTACACCCTCATGCTGGAATTAGAAGAATATTATTCTTAGAATTCCTTTCTTATTATTTTATCAACGATTACAACCATCATTAAAATGTTAATTCACTTGGTATTGTTGTTTAATTGTATCTTCCCATTGTTGTTTAGGACTACAATTAATCAGTCTCTTGTTATTGGCATATATGCAACCTATGCGGATTGCCTCGATAATGCCTTAAATCATAAGCATTTTAAACAAAAATGAAAAGTGGCTAGCAGTGAAATTCAGGGTGCGTGTTTCATCCTATTTGGGATTCGTCAGCTTGATGTACCTGCATCCCAGAGTTGATACTTGTAAAGGAAAGCAATATCTGAGCTATCTGCACAGGATAAACATATGTCAATAAGAGACTGATCAATTTGCAGTCCTAGATATGAATGGGAAGATTCAAGTATACACTACCAGTCAGTCAGTCAGCTACAATGTAGGATCAGGCATATATATGCATCAGCCCAAGTTGCCATATTACATTAACACAACAAGATGGCAGTAATACACAAAATAAACATTGTGTATAAGGATATAGTACAGGAAGAAAGAATTAGTTCGTAGAAATAAAGATATAAAGCAATTATAATCTCATATTTCAAAGGAAGACAACGAGTGTATACACTGAAGCCACTGTGATCGATTCTGAGCCATGTCATCAAGAGTCTCCAATCATTGGTTACGATAGTCACGCAGATCCCAATCAAGTAGTCTGCATCTACCAACATGGCTAAGACTAGATGTTAGTGACTTCAAGCACTGATGCCACGTGTTGGTTTGGCTGTCCCTAACTTTCTTCTAACTATCCCCTACACTAATCAACATTGCACATCGTGGTAATCGATGTTCATTTAATACTAGTTATTAGGTGGACAATTTCAAGATTATCTTGGCATCGCTCAACATATAATCGATAAATTATAATCTCACTTAAAATCTTTCACTTCATATTCAAATTCAACTGAAATATACTTCCATTGAATACTTCAATTTCTTGATAGTATTCCTTATCCATTTGATGATTTTCAAACAAAAATAATCCCTCACTAAGATGAACATTGAAAATTCTGTCTTACCGACAACAAAAAAAGTGATAATCAAATAAATCATTCAACACATCGGTGTTACTTTTATTTGTTAACCATAATAATGTACCGGACGCCCACGCATCACTTTTTTTTCCACCCTACAAATTAATTGGTTAATTTTTAAATCACATAATGGTTAGTATTGGTGATGACACTGATGTGTGTGTGTGCCTGTGAGTATATGCGTGTGCTGTGCTGTGCTATGCTGAAGTATGGTGTAGTGAGGTTTCTTTGGTGGGGGAGGTGGGTTTTCAAAAAAGAAAAGACTCTGTTGCTTATTATCATTTTTTAATGGTGATCATTTATTGTAGTGTGAACACAACATGTGAATAACGTTTTTGGAGAAAGAGATGATTTTTCTAAAATCGTATGTCCTGGATTTAAAATACAAAATTGTCGTCTGTTCTCTTAGTTTATGACAGAAAAAAAATCATTTTTTGGTTTTACTCAGAGACAAATTACTAATGGAATAACTAAAATATAATTTAGTTACTATGTACTTTATTAAATTCAATGGAAGACCTTATTTTATCCATCATATACTTTACATGATAATAGAACAAAGAACAACTAATTGAAGTATCCCAGTTTCTACGAAGAAGAAGCAGAAGAAAAAGAAGACCATGTTGTATCAATCAAGATCAAATTCATTGCATTCGATTCTAGAAATGATTCTTTCATTATTATTACTAATGATCTATGGAATTATTATCATTTATAGTAAACCATTAGATATTGAATCAGATACACCATTAACTATAAGTTTTAATCCATCGTCTAATCAAGTACAATTAATAATACGTTGTGAAGTTCATTCATTCAACAATAAACAATTAGAAGTCAATAACAATAATAATAACATACTTAATGATTATAGTATGTTCTTTCAATGTCCTATAGCCCCATGGGGTAAATTTTGTTTTCATAATTGTCAATCTGCATGTGTCGGCGAAATACCTAATCAATGTCCATATGATAATGAATTAAGTCTTATTAAATTTCGTACTGCTATGACTGAACAAGGTTATTTATTTTATGAATATACAATACCAAATCTAACTGAAACATGGTTAGGATTAAACCATAATAATAATAATAACACTTCAATGGATAAGGATAATCATAATAAAATAGAAGGTTTCTCATGTAAAACAGCTGGATTAGAAACACCAAGAATTCCTTTAACTATAGTTAAACCCAATGATATTCAATTGAATACAATGGATCTATCAAAGACTAAAACATCATCATCATCATCATCATCATCATCATCTAGTTCTCATTCAAAGATATCTCATTTGAATAAAACTATATCTAATGAATATAATACACAAGAAGATGATTCTAATCCATTGAATAATGGAATGAATCAATCGATTAAACGAATTAATTCTGAACTTAAAGGTAAGTCTATAATCATTCTTTCGTTTTTCTTATCATTGTTACATCTATGTACCTAAATAAGTGGTTAATCTGGTTGTCAGAAGGGTCATCAGCATCGTGAATTCCGAAGGAATTCGGCTTTTATCATGAGGCCTCTTCTAAATGAAGACCTTTTAACTCACAGGGCAGAGTTTAAGTGGTTTGAATAATTTTTTTCTGGTTAGTGTTTTTTAGTGAGTTAGTTTTCTACAGGATGGGATCGCGAACCCCATACCCAACGCTCCTCCTTCATCCGTGCTTGGGACCGGCAGTAGCCCGGGAGGGACTCCAGGCGGAGTTTCTTATGATTGTTATCATCATTATTATACATATATTAATGACCAAATCAATCGAATCCTAACTTTTCTTCCCATCATATCACTTACTTACTCACTCAATCACTCACTCGTTCGCTTACTTACTTACTTACTTGAGCCTGTTACTACCAGTGGAGTACAGACCGCAGACGAGCATTCTTCAACCCACTCTTTTTGAACCTTCCTTTCTCGTTCCAACCAATCGTTGGTCATTCCTCTAATGTCTGTCTCTATTCATACTTGTTCATTAACAAGCATACACCTTTTAAAATATGAATTACATTAAAGATCTTATCATGATTATTATACATTTCTAGATGGAATTCTTAGTCTTATGATAAAGTAATGAGTAGTATACTTTAATTATATTGAGACCGTAGAAATAATCTTAATGAATGATCAGTGATTATCTTCTTCTTATTATTATCCTTGAAAATATATATAATTCAGTTGTGTCCATGTGGTTTCATGTTTATGTTTTGCTGAAGATCAATTATTTTACTAGAAAATTTCTTAAAGAATTTCCTAAATTTTCTTATGATTAGAGTAAATTTTGATACTACTGAAATGTATCTTCAGTTGTAAATGTTCATCGAGTGAGATGGCTAGACCGCGTGGTTGTATAGACCTGATGAAATATTCTAAATAACGGCAGCAAAACATGGCCATTAAGAGTAGAAGATAATCATAAGCGACTAGTATTTGACCACAGATATCTTAAAAATGTTGCTCACATCTGCTGGAATCAGCGGATAAGTAATCAGGAGGTTAGACACAGAGTATCAGAGAATAATAATAAATCAATTGATGAGGTTGTAAGTCTTCATCGACTGAGATGGTTGGGCCACGTGTTACGTATGCCTGAACACCGATTACCACGACGCCCGACGGTGACTAGTTTAAAGGATGGTTGGAAAGCAGTTACGAGCGGCCAAACTAAAACGTGGCATCAGTGCTTGAAGTCACTAACCTCTGGCCTCAACCATGTTGGTAGATGCAGACTACTTGGCTGGTGTTCTCGTGACTATCCTGACCAATGATTGGAGACTCTTGGTGACATGGCTGAGAATCTATCACAATGGCTTCAGTGTATACACTCGTTGTCTTCCTTTGAAATATGAGATTATAATTGCTTTATATCTTTATTTCTACGAACTAATTCTTTCTTCCTGTTCTATGTCCTTATATGCAATCATTCTTTGATATATTTCCACTATTGAATTAACTACTTTTATGAATTTGGTGTTCACGTTGTTGTGCTAATGAGGTATGGCAACTTGGATCGATGCATATATATGCCTGGTCCTACATTTTAGTAGACTGTCTAATTGACTGAAATGTATCAAATAAATATAAGTGTACACAAGTATATAGTTGATAAACATGGACCTTTAGATAGTTTTCTTGTTTCTATTTACACTTCATTTCTTGATCATTTAAAAGTTACCCCTAACATGAACTGATCATGTTTAATGATCATAGTCAACATAATTCTCATTAATGAACAGATCAATTTACAATCAATAATATTTTCTGGTTTCAGTCCATGTTTACATAATCATCTTTCAACTTCCTTCATTGAATATTTAAACAGTTCAGTGCGTTAATCTTGAATATCATGGTCATCCAGTGCTTCTAGGTTTTCAACAGTTGTCTAAAATCGATCGGTTTATGGTATCAATTAAATAAACCGATTATTCTTAATTAGTGATTGGGAATTTGGATCTTATGACACAAAATCAATTTTTTCCACTATTCATTTTTCATTCACACATATCACACATATTTGATTTACATTCACCGTTGTTTACATTCTGAACTACTGGAAGTTGTAACACATGGATTAAATAGATGATTACGAGATTGGTGTATTAATGTTTTATTCCTTCATGTAGGGTACTATTATTCCAATAACAGACTTCTTGAAAGTTTTGCTACAGTAATTTTGAGATTTGTTATATATAAAATGAGAAATCAGTTGATAGGGTTCATACATTTGTATTGTTTCAATAAATCATCATATATTTTGAACACTCCCTCCCCTCAGGCTACGTTTAACTCGACAGTAGTTAGAATGGTAGAATTTGAGGAGTAACCAAATCAAACCTGACATCAATAATTGGAATTATTAACTGATAGATTAAGTCATGTTATTAAATGTGAAATTCTGATTTGGATAGTGTCTAACATCACCATTGGATGCCGGCTCAGTGGTCCAGTCGGTTAAGCGTTCGCGCGCGAGACCGAAGGCCATGGGTTTGAATCCCGCCAGTGGGATCTTGGATGCGCACTGCTGATGAGTCCCATAATAGGACGAAACGGCCGTCCAGTGCTTCCAGGTTTCCCAAGGTGGTCTAACATCAATCGGTTCATGATCTCAATCAAAAAACGTAGTAATCTCCACAACCCCTATACTAGTACTATCTTTTCGATTGATCTTCTCTTTCTCACTGTATTTATATAATGGGTGGTGACTGATACCGAGGAACTAATGTATCAAACAGAATACAGTTTATAACTAACTACTTGTCAAAGTAATCTAAAAGCTCTACCATTTACCTAAATTTGATGAATCTTAGTTGTCATCTACAAAACTACAAATCATGTCATTCATTCAATGGAAACACTACAGTTTCATGTGTCTCAGACGTAGTGTCAGTTGCTATGTTAAGTTCATATAACTTATTCAAGCTTTTGGACAGGACAATTTATTCATTCTTCTGAAGTAGTCACATTTTGACCTTGTCAGTTATTTGCTTATCAGTCTTGACTGTTTCTATGTAAGTGTATTTATGTGCCTTTCTTATCTCATTCATCAGATGTCTGTAGTTTATTTTCGTGTCATTATCAAGATCGATTCACGCTTGGCTAAATCAAGTAGGTTTACTCGCCCTCTGCATTGTACGTCATTTCGTTTCGCTCTCTTATCTTCTCTTTGTTTCGTTTCTTTGCTCTTTCGTTTGAACCAACGACTATACAAAATATATGTACTCCAAAATCCTTTCTTGCTAATTGATCACTGGGTGGTGATCAACCAATTGTAAATACATATCATTCTGATAGGAGTTCAGTCGTGGTCCAGATAACTCAGTTGTAAAGTCTGTGACTGTGAAGCTGAATGACACGGGATTAAATCCGTCAGGGAGCATCAGTCCCCTCAAGATTACAGGTACATCTTACTGACGAGTGCCAAGTAGCACAAAACCTGGGTACAAGGTTACGTGTTGACTACCTCCAACCACCATCTTATCCGTTCAGGTATTTCGCTTATTTTAATTCTGTTATTCACTAACGCGATTTAAGTCGATGATTATACATGAGGGTAATCAGGATGTATAGCCCTATCACAATCATCGTACGATCCAATTGGATTCAGATCATCAGCCATAACAAATCCAATAATAACCATTACAGTTTTACTGATATTTTTTTAAAAAAATATTGATTATTGTGTGGTTTGTCAATAAATTATTGATTAGTATACTCAACTATTTTTATCATTTATAATGCGACCTGTTTTATTACACAACACCATGTAATCAATATTGATTATTTTTTTCTTTAGGTTGATTGATATTATTGAACTTATAAGTAGTATATAAGATCAGTTGTTAGGTTGGTTTTAATGAATGAATTTCTAGGATACCAAAGATACTGATAGATATAAGTAACAGTATTGTATCCTAATGAGAATAATAAGTGGTAACTTTTAAGATTCATTTGTAGACTAATCTTTAGGTATCTTTGGTTAAGTAACTAAACTATGCATATTCATATTCCTCTTATTGTAAGCTTCCTTTTGATCCATAGATGATTATTTTACGATTTACCATCCTTGATTTATGCCCAGTCTATTCATTACAGTCTCCTATATTCACAACCACATTTGGCTTATTATTGTACAAATGTTGTTTCCTATTTTATGGTACGATGTGGTCTGTTTGTTTCGTATATAAACCCAGTATGTTTGAAATATAATGATTCGTATCGTGGATGCTGATATTGGTGTTCTGGGCTTAACAGGCAATGTTAGGCAGGGAGAAGGACCGATAAGTACTGTAGACTACTCGTACTTGTTTTATGCGTCACTCGTCTTGCCGATAAATCACTGTTTTCTAATTGGCAGTATCATTACGTTATAATATTGATAGAACACAGGGCATAAGTTATAACAAACGGATTATTGAGAGTAAATGAACTTTAAACGTTTGAAAATAACTTTGATTATAGACTATGAACTATTTTACAACCAGTTTAAAACTTTATAGAAGTGCCAACGAATGAACGAACAAAACCTTTCGGTCTTATAGCTATTAAGATATGTGTCCGAATTTCATGAGTTATATTATGCCACATCAGTATAGATATACAGCAATATGTGGCCATCATCCTGTGCCAAAGATGAGTAATTTTTCAATTACAATGAGGTAGATTTCATAAGTAAACTTCATGAAATCCATTTTAAAAGTTAATCACTGATGAACACAAGAATACTATTACTCTTAATGGCACATAGATAGAGGATGGGATATACACTGAGGAAACCATCAAACTACATCATGAAGCAAGTGCTAACTTGAAATCCAGAAGGGAAACGGAAAGAAGTAAGACTAAGTAACACACCACATCGAGAACTGGTAGTAGACATTAAAGGAAGACTAGCAACATTAAATAACCAGAAAACAATGTTTAAGACAGAATTGGATGGAAAATGCTGTTGAGACGTATATACACCTCGACGAGGAGTAACAGGCGTAAGTAGGTCAGTTAGTAAATCCAAGTGAAGAGTAAAAGTATAATGACGGAATATTTTTCAATCATCACTGCTTTTTGATATGCGTCTGAGACTAGTTGGTTTACAGAGATATTAAGTACGACATTTGGCGCAACATTTCAATAGTAACCATATGCTTAACCACATCGAGTTTTAATCAAGATCATTCGGTTCAATTGGTAATTATTACTGTTTTCGATATCAATGATAATTTATATTACAGACTGACTAAAATGTCGTACAAACAGGAAAATAAAGCCCCTGAGAAAATGCGTTTACTGCGTACGACACTCTGACTCCACCAACATTCGGAATAACAACTTTTTAAACTTTTGATTGCGTCGTACATTTGGATTACATGGTTTTCATTAAATGATTCTTATTTTTGCATTCGCTCTACTAGTGATGTATGACTGTCACTCGGTACATCTGGCTGATTCTCTCTAATCATAGGTTCTTTCTGAAATGCTCATCATAACCGATGTTTAAAAACCTGAGAAGATTTAATTATACCACCCAGGTGCCCAGATCGAAGCAAGTGGTTTGCATGGAGGGCCACACCCGGAGCCTTT